TTATGAACGCTGGTCTTTGTAATCTTGATGCAATACTAGGAACTTCCAACTGCCAAGCTCCAAACACGAAGATTAAAAGGACTTCAACAGCGACTTCATACTTTTTTAAGCTATATTACCCATCTGATAAGAGCAACTAAAACCAACAGTGTAAGCATATATTTCATCTAATATCTTCTTTCAGTAGAAAATGGGGCATGTGTAAACTTTTCGGAGAGTAAGTCTTGAATATTACTACAATTGAGATCCCTACTGACAAGGTTTTGATAGAAACTTAATCCCTACTGCTACAGAGCCGCATATTCTAATAGTGAAAATGGATTAAGGTAAAAGAGGGTCTATGTCATTCATCCTCATTTTATTCTAGGGCAACAATCTAAGAGTAATGGGTAAAAACCTAATTGGTAGCATTATTGAACTTGCAAATGCCAACATCAAACACCAAAATACACTAGACGGTAACTTAATTTCAGACCACACATTCGTTTAATATATATTTCTTTCAAACAAACTTCTAAAGAACCATTCAACAAATACCAAGCCATATTTGTTGAAATAAATGATTAGACAAACTTGAGGTAGTAATTACAGATACTTCTACTCTATCCATCAACAATCATCATTATTCTAAATGAACTAGTATCTTTTGAATGTGCACCAACAAATCTTGTCGAGAACACAATATAGAGTTTTCAAATTCAGTGGCATATATCAAGTGCAAAGACAACCACATAACAAGCATATAGTTCAGTACGAAATTTTCTATTAATAATTTATAGAAAATGTTAAAGTTTTAAAAACTTTAAGCATGCTAGTTCTAATTATTCACTCAAATAATCATGTTTCACACTTACAAAAACATAAGCTCTTACCAAAGAAATCACACCAATGGAACATTGTTTAAACCAGTTCCAACATTTATGCTATTCCATTTCTACAAAGCTTACCAGTCCAAGCCCTCAAAGAGCCCTTCTCCTTTTATTGCAGAAGTTTTAAAAATTGCCCACTGTCGGTTTTTAATTTTATGCAGCTCCAATGCTTCAGTTACAGCAGCATCATCAAGTGCACCAGGAAGATCCTGTATTGACCAAACCAGCGTATAAAAGATAACAAATGGTCATCTGTATTTCAATGCAATTCTTTCAAAAAAATCTATATTTCAATACAGAAGTTGCAATAGCTACACCAAAATAGGACACTAGATTATTGAGCCAGATCACAAAATTGAATCTCCTACTTCAGTAAATATTCCTAAAATGTAAAAGTATTATGTTATGAGTCTTAAATGATGAACTAAGAAAGTGATAATTTGGTAACTGTCATGGTGGTCCCATTTACTGGTCAAGTCTATAAAAGCTACATTCATGGGAAGAAGTTGATCAGAACAAAGGGGAAATATATCTAATCTTTTTTTAAAAGTTTTATTTGTTCTCTTAGTAATCCTAGTTTTATGCTACTAGTTTTTTCTCTATTTAACTCTGTAAGTCTGGGGGCAGTCATTTTCAGTTTGTTTCAGTTTATGTTAAAAGTACTTCTGCATTATATGGAGTTCTTTCAGGTTGTAATCGGTGATAAAAAAACTACTGAGATGAAATAAATAAATAAGCAGAATTTTATCCATCGAAAGTGAGTTTCTTTCTTAATTCTGACATCTTAAGGTTGTCTCCAATGAGCCTAAGCCCATGCCAAAATTGGCAGGAAAAGAAGAAAAACTTCCAAACTATCTCGCACCCTAAGCGATTATCCAGTTATTAGACTCATAACTAGCTAAGTGATTTTCACACAACATATCAAGAGGAAAGAGCCGCTTCAGATGTGATGCAGCAGGTAATGGCAGCAATTGGAGGAACTTGCCAAGGATTTTCCTGGCCTGAGAGTTGAAGGCAGTGAACCAGATGATGCAAAAATTCCAATACTATCAATACCAATGACAAATGGTCAATGGGTATGTATCCAAGTTCTCCAAACTTGATTTTCTTCGGTTCAATAGATTTCTTGATACTCCAAGTGGCTTATTTTTGTAATCGTCTTTTTCACAGCCAATGAACTCAGAGAAAAGAAAAGGAATGCATGGCTTCCTTCTATTTGGAGGTGAATCTCCAATTATAGTTATTAAACTCGAAGTAACCTACCTGCAAAGATTTTAAAGCACTACCAACCTTCAATTTGGACAGCCGTTCAGAGTGACCTGTGGGGGAATTATCTAGGTTCCTCCCAACTGGACACAGTTAAAAGATATGACTACAAGTTTGAGCACCTTCTGCTTACTCAAATATTTAGCCCAGAAAAGG